TTTTTCATGTCATTTTGTTTTATGATCATCAGCTAGTGATTTCTTACTAAGTCTTTAAATTTCCTGCTAGTCCATTTGCTAGTCCATGAACAGGATTTTACTCAGATCAGTTTTATGATATAGTTAGTAACAGTTTAATTGTGAAAAATTACCTAGAAAGGAAATACAAGGAAGACTACATTTTCCCCAGTTTTTATAGCAATCGCAGTAGGTTCATTTTTAAGTGTTTATGAAGTGAAAAAGGCAAGGGTACTTTTGTCTATTTCTTTAGTATTTCCTTCCTAGTAAGTTTTCTAAATGTGTCAAATTTACTTGCTATTGATAACACCAAGTTTATTTATAGCTGAATGTTGGGACATCTTTATTAACATCTATGCTGTTTACCAGCTACTATGTTCTCCCTACCTGCAAGATGGAGTCTTTCAACAAACATCTTTGGATAGACATTCGCATCCAGTTACCCAAAACTTCTAAGCAGTGACCCTCCATCTTCTATCACTGTCATCTGCAATCACTGTCACCGCAACATGGATGCTTCGGTGATGACATTTCAGAAACACCCGGTTGTCACAATGCAGATTGGACATAACCTCACAAATATTGAAGTATATATTCATGGTGCTTTTATTTCATTTTCTCATTCTGGCCTTCATGTTAAAAGGGTGCTGATTAAACACCTATATTATAATTGAGTTGATTCACAGACTATCTAGCAGAAAGAAATAAAGTGTAGACTCCGAACATTTGCATATACCTAGAAAGATATTTACCTAAGAACAGCAAAACTAGGACTTAGTGTATTTACTAAGTGATACCTAAAAGTCCAAGAATATTCTATCTTGACATTTCTGAGGCAGAAATGTCATCCAATTCTCACCACAGAAGACAATCCTCATGAGAATTTTGAAAAGAAAAGCTGACTCATATTGGAACAAATGATGATTTTTTAGCCTCCCACAACACCAAATCATGGAAAGACTTCAGAGCTTGTATAAATAAAACATGAATATCAAAGTTCACAGTTCCCTTTCAGCAAGTAATATTTATGAAAAGGATTGAAAATCAAAATGTCAGCTGAGATGAGCTATCCCTTCCATTGGAATGTGTCTGATTTCATTGTCAACGAGGAAAATGAAAAAGCAAGATTCAAATGTGTGCATTATTTCATTAAAATCAACTCCCAGATCCCTCCCTGTTTTCTCTTACCTAAAACAATTTGGCCCCATGGTTCATAATCCAGATTTGCTTGAGGCTTAGCTCTCTTATCCTCTCCTTTCTTGCCTGCTCTAACCTTTAGTACTAATCAGAAGTATTAATTCACAGCTTTCATTTAACCTAAATTTATATGAGGCAACAATGTGACATGACCTCCAAAAAGGTCAGTGTCATCCTGGACTATACCCAGAGAAGTTCTGTATCCAGATGGAGAGAAGTGCTTGCCCCAATTTACTTTTGCCAAAACAAAACAAAAAAAACACCACCTAATACAGCTCTTAATGATTCTAGAGTTCCAACATTTAAGATCTCTCTCTTTCATTCCTGAGTTCAGAACCAGTTGAAAAATAAGACACTGGAGATCAACAGAGATTAAACTGTCAGCTTTATTATTGATAAACTAATTGGAAAAGGTGACTTTCGATTGGGGGCCAAAATGCTTATTAATATTCTATGTGTACAAGCCCTTCCTTCATCCTAGCACACACACCCAAATCCTACCTTGGCACCCACAGGAGAGTTTGGAGATGCCTGTGCCTGGGGCAGAGAAGGGTGGGAATTGGGAAGCTTACAGTCCTTGGATAGATTTGCTCCAATCTGTCCAATTAGTTCATCTGTCATCACCTAACAATTAACAATTAAATGACTGGCTTTTCCATGAGGGGTGAATGAGGGGTGGGAACGAGGGGCTAGGAGTCATATTCCCATGGAGGTTCTCCACACAGTCAACGAACAAACAAAAGGAGTTTCCCTCCCAACAGCACTCATTTCTAGACCCCTCCATGGACAATATCGGAGCATGATAAGAATATGACCAGGATAGTGGGAACTTTTGAATCCTGTATCATGACAAATGGTTGCCAGGTAAGACCACATGGAATTCACACCTTTCTTCCAAAAGCTGAGTGGGTAGTCATTTGCTCTGTATGACCCTATGGCAGAGATATGCAATCTACTTGCACACACCCCCAACCCCAATATTTCCTGCAGACTGTCAGTTAGGCAGGGCCATGTGACTTTGGTCACAATGAATTGTGAGCTGACCTGACATGTGTCACCTCCAAGATAAAGCAATGAAAAGTCCATGCTTGGTTCTTCAGTGTTGCTTCCCCTCTACTGCAGTGACTGGGGAGGTCCCTCATTCCAGCTATGCAGTGTCTGTCAGCCTAAGTCCTAGAGTGAATGGGGTAAGAGTCAAGAAGGCAATACCATAGCCATGGAGAACAGTGATAGAAGGAGGTACTTTCTAGAGCATAAAATTGATTCAGAAACAAGGACATTCTCTCACCCTTTCTGGCGAGACCTATAAAATATCTGCTCATTAAGATATTTCTGCAAACCAGCAAGTGTTGCATACTTCTCATTCCTCACCATCCATAGGGAGTGTTTACTGATATTATCTTGAGTCTATGCTACCACTATATGCTGGGCTTAAGGGATGCATATGACCTTGCTCCATAAGTTTCTGGAGCAAGAATGACCACATGCAAACCTCATAGAGAGACTACTGCGGGACCACTCAAATACTCCAAACTTGAAGTCACATCTGGTTTGATGTGACTTAAAGTTGCCTCCCCTGTGGAGGAGTTAGGTGAATCCTGTATTTGGGGGGATTGGGAACAGAGGAGTAAAGCTACATTGGCAGCAGAGGGTAGACTGTGACAGTGACAGGGCTGCTCACCAGACATCCAGGTTAAACAAAGCTGTGACTATTTGTGGTCGGTGAGCTGTGGCCAGATGTGACTCCAAGACAAGAGACTGAGGACACCTTGTGTTGAGACAACAGAGCTACAAGTTTGAAAATTGCTTCATTGTTGAGTCACTACATGCAGAATAAATTTCCTGCAGGGTTACACAGACCTACAGAAGCATAGTGAAAAAGAGATTACTTTTTAATTAAACCACTGATGTTAGGGTTCCTTCTTACTATAACATACCTAGCTTTAATCCTGTTTTATATAAACCACAAGGAGCAAAATTTCAAAGTTCCTTACATTTAATCCTAATCTTACTGTTCTTCTAACTCTGTGGGCTCCTCCGAAGGGATTTTATATATTCCCATGACTTTACATACTATCTTTATGAAGGTTATCCAACTCTCAATCTTTCCTTAGATAATCCTGGATTATTCCTGCTGTCCTGATCAAATTAGTTGTACCCTTTCATGCTCAAAAGTCCCTGCTTTGGAAGATTAAATAACATGGCCACCTTATCTACATGCCTATTACAACCATATTACCACATTTCCATTTCAATCCCAAACATCCTTTTAGAGTTTCACACACCATCCAAACCCTCAACACCTCCATTTGTACATCCACATGCATAGGCATCTCAAGCTTAACATTTCCTATGTTGATTTTCTTCTCATCATTTCCAATCTGCTGCTCCTCTAATATACACATGCCATGAACCCATTTGCTCAAGGTACAAACATGATGTCATCTTTGACACCTGCCTTTCCCTCATCACCCACAATCTTTCACCAAGACCTGCTAATTCTACTTCTAAACTGTATTACAAACCTACCTACCTCTCACCTCTACTGCCATGACATGATCCAAGTCACCTCTCCAGCAGACCCTGCAATAGCTTCCTAACTAGGCTTCCCTCTTGTTTCTACTCTCTATACAGCAGCCAGAATGACTTTTAGAACCTAAATTAGACTCAGTTCCTTCCTAACTTAAAAAAATTCAGTACTTCTAAAGCAATACCTTAAATCCTCAATTCTGGCGCCTGAGGCCCTCCATGATCATGTCCCTGTTCCAGGCCTTTATTTCCATGTCACACATCTCTCTTCTCCGTCACTCTGCCCTTCACTTACCCCATGATTTCCTACCCCAATGCCACTGCAACTCCTGTCCTTTGTATCTAGTCTCCTCACATACCTAGGTGTGCTGCTAGATTACATTTTCCAGACTCCTTTGCAGCTATATTTTCAGTAAATACAATTCTAGGCAATGTGACATGAGCAGAAGCAATGTATATCACTTCCAGGTATGGCCATAAAGTTATATCCCATATGCTCTTACATGTTCTTTTCCATTGGTTGCCATGGAGATAACCACCAGTATAGCTTCAGCAGATCATGTAGGAGACAGAAGATCTTCTGTCAAAATGCATGCCAGAATGGCTATGTGGAGATAAGTCACATCATTCTGTCTTTGGCCCAGTTACAGGTACCTGAGTAGGAAATACACTTCCATTGTGCTTAAGCTATTATATATTTGTAGGTTGATTTAACAAAAATCTACACCTAGAGCACTGATTAGCCATACCACCACCATACACCTACGTGTGCATGGGATCACACAAGACACACATACACAACACACATACACACCTCTACATTTAGTCATTCTCATTGTTCATCCCTCCTTATATTTTAGGTCTGGGCTTATAGGCACTGAAAGGTCATCCCTGAGTCCCCTCATCCAATCAAGTTACTCTGTCATTCCTTTCATCCCCTAGTCTTTCCTGTCATTTTACTCATCAGAGTGTATAATTATATTTTCCTTTGTCTATATATTTACTTGAAAGTCCATGTCTACAACTGATCCATAAGCTTCATGGAATCAGAACATTTTGTCCACCGTAATAATGCACAGAGCTTGCACTGTGTTTGACAGACAGCAGTCACTTAATTTAAATATGTTATTTTTAATATTTTAGAGGATGAACAAATGAGAAGTCACTATCAAGGGAATGCTGTTTTATTATGAAACTACAACTTTAGACCAAAAATCATAGAGAATTAAAATATAGACCACGGAGATTTTTCATTTACCTTTATTCATTTAAAATGCAAGTCTGGGCCAATCCACAACCAAGAAAAAACCTTAAACTCTGTTAACAAACAGGCTGAATATGATAACGGTATTGCCCTTGTATGTGCAAACAAGAAATCCATTTCCATTCCTTTCATAAAAGCTCTTGCTAAACATTAGATTTTATTCCATCAAAAAATGCATTAAGAAGATCATGCTTATATAGCTAGTCAGCACAGGAGACAAATGACAATTTATACTGAACTATTTAAGTCTTGCAGTATATATAGTGCTCACAAACCCAAGATGTAGCTGTTGGCCTTTTCAGTGGCATCCATTATGTGACACTGTCATCAATAATGTTAAAGGACTTCACTACTTTTTAAAAGCTAGAATTACTCCAAAAATTCTGTATCGTACATAACGTGGAATATTGCATTTAAGTCTAAGATGGCTAGATCACATATATCTTTTCTATAGTCCTCTGTGTAATATATGTAGCAAAACGAATATTGTATAAGAGGAGAAATAGATCAAGCTCTTATATTCTTACCTAACATTTTAATTATTTAAGTAACGTCTATTAATATTCCAATGATTAAAAAATAAATCAATGTTCAATATTAACTGCACAAAATCTAAAAGAAAATGGCCACATTACATCCTACTACATTATATAGGTAGAGTAAAAGCAGCTAATTAGAAGCCTTTTTAAAAATTCAAAGTTTCTGACATCATTTTCCACCATTCCATCAATTCTTCCTTCTCCTCTTCTTTCCTTTCAGAAAATGACTCCAGTTCAAAATCAACCTAAACAAGAAGATAAGGATATATTGTCATCAATATATTGTACTTAAATATATATTTTTAAAAATTGAAATTTAAAAAGACTAATTTTAGAGCTTATAGAATAGCTTAATCCAGTCCCCTGAATTAAAGTATATCCTAAAAAAAACTGATGATAAACAAAAGACACTGTCAGAAAAAAAACACCAAAAATCACTACATTTGAAATGTGCTTTGATCAAACAGCTTTGCAGGATTATTTAAAAGCAGAATATCTAAAGGCAGGCTATTCAAAGGCAGGCGTTTCCCCCCACCCCTCCATAATCTTAGGTGTTTATAACTAATTTTTTACCTTTTCAGTAAACTTCATGTGTTAATCCTAAATTTTCTCCTAAAAGCTGGGGAAATATGAATACCTCAAGTTTCCTGGTGTCCCAAACCACAAGGTTCTGCTTTCCGGAATATTAATTCTGTTAAAGAAACTAATGGGAACACACACATTTCCAAACCACCACAAGGACCAGTGGTCTGGGAACTCAACTCCCCTTGAGAACAGGGAGTCCCCATCAGATGTGTAGAGAATCCATAGACTTCAGCAGAAAGGGCTTTTTAATATATGCAGCCCCAATCCCGGCCCTCCTGGAGACCTCCAGATAGCTGCGCCGTACTGCAGGTGGAACTAAGATTCCCTTGATTCGACCACAAAACCTCCTGGATATCTAGGAAAGGGATTGGGGCTCTCTCCTACTACTACCTCACACTAGAAAGGCTAATGGACAAGACAGCGGAACATTTTACTTGCTTCTGGAGCTACCTTTCTCCAGGTTTCATTTGCCCAAATTTAACCACCTGATTTTAGTACATATATACAGCCTAATGTACACACACATGCAATCAAAACCAAAGCATCAGTTAAAAACTCAAAATATTTTACTTGCAAAAACCAAGCATTTATACTCCAAACTTGGAATGCCTAAGTAAAAATACAATAAATCCTTGACAGGTAAGACTTCTGATTGGAAATCCTGAAGCCATTCCACGTCCTAGTAATGTAATTCCAAAGACCATAGCAAACCCTTCTCTAAGAGTTTTCTTCTCTTCACCATCACCTTCCTGGCAAAATAAGTGGCATCTATTTAAATAAGATGCTGTCTTTAAAAGTGCTTACTACAGAAGGTCTTGCTTACAGTGTGAGCTTAATAAATGTTTGAACATTGCTGAGTGCTAGAGATAAAAAGATAAACAGAACAGAAAACAGAATTGCTTTGAGATTATAATCAAGGTTGGCAAATAAAAGTTTGAATTCTTAAAGTTCTATTTGATTTTCTTATGAATTGCTTCAAAAATCAAAGAAAAAAACAACAGAGCTTCATATGGGGAGGTAGTAAATCATCTAGTGAGCTGTTGGGTATCACTTTACTAGTCTCAGTTTTCTCATCTGTTCATTGGGGGAAATAATGGTACCTACCTCATAGCATTATTATGAAGATTAAATGTAAGACACTTAAATATTCCTGGCACACAGTAGGTGCTTGATGAATCCACACTATCATAGTGATCACTTACCCCAACCGCAGGACTATAAGGAACTGCCACTTTCTTTGTTATTGCCAGATAGCCTGGGGCTGAGGCTGTAAGTTTATAGTTTCCAGGTACAAGCAATCTCCAGTAATCACCATCCTTTGCTGAAGGGAAAGAAAATACCAAATCACAAGGCATTTATGTGAAATGCATAATGATACCATCTAAGGAATACCCAGTAAACCTCGGTTCAATTTCTTCGATTCCCTATTTCCAACGTAGATGTTTATGTAATGTGATGAAATTCCATTGAAAAGAGTGAAATTCTCTCGAAGGAGTCCTTTCTCATAGCAATTAATTATACAGATATAAATGTTAAACTGTCTGACACATCTTCTGCAATAATGGGCTTCATAAATATATCAGGAGAACCACAAGGAAGAAGATATGTAAAGTTCCCAAGCTGTGGGTCAGAGCCCCTACTGCTTTGATTCTTGCCAAGGACCTGATGTTCTGAGAGTATCAGTGTTTCACAAACAGTGGCCGAAAGACAGCTTCACCAGAATCCCCAAAGCACTTACTATAAATATGGATTTCAAAAGAATCAGAATATGTTGTCTGGAGTGCCTTCTAGGAACTGCATTGCCAACCAGTTCTCCAGAGAATTCTTAAGTGGAGTTATGTTTCATACACTTGTGCTCCCCACATACTGACAGTTCCAAGGTCCACTATCATAATCACTCTCAGGCACATGCCTTTAACCAACTGCTTTGCCCCCTTAATTACAAGAGCCTGGCAAACCCCCAATCCTGGATGATTCTCAACTCTCCTCTACGCCTGCCCCCATGTGGCTACAAAAAGCTGGGAACACACCCCGCCCCAACCCCGACCAAGCTGGTCCATCTCGGATTCATAAACACCAGCCTCACACAGGTCGTGGTACTGTCCTGCCCTTCTAGTCCCTTTCTCCCTTGTCTTTGCACGCTCCTATTTTCTGAATCAGTGCTTATAAATCACCTGGGTAACAGGGTAAAATGCAAATTCTAATACACTAGCTCTGGGGTGATTCTGCATTTCTAATTCAGCTACTGGTTGAGGGCCATACTTTGAGTGGCAAGGTCCTATGGACAATTCACACTTTCTCCTCTTTCCTACCATCCTCATTCTCAGCTGATGCTTTGCATCTTAATTCACTGTGAAAACAGAAACAATCAGGAAAAAAAGACTCCCTCACTCTTTTCCAACCTAGCTGTAGTCTCCACATCTCTTTTTAGTCAGTGCCCCACTTCGTTACAACAAAATTTCTGGGGCGATTCCTTAATACTTTCTCTCCCTAATGTCCCCTGTTCTACTGTCCCCTGGACCCTCCCCAGCAGGCTGCCATCCTCCACTGAAACAGATTTTGTCAAGATTCTCACCACTGGTTCATTCACAATGTTCATCTTTATTCGACACTTAACACCTCCTTGAAACACTTGCAGGTTTCCAGGGCAACCATTGTGTCTCCTTACCATACTGTCCTTGAAATACTAGAGTCTCCCGAATCCCACTTCTCAGATCCTATGCCTTCCTACCTGTATTTACTCCCTATGTTAGAGTTTCCTAAAATTTCCACATCATGGAATGCAGAGAAAATATATGTATAGAATAATATTTGCTAGTGTTAACAGATAAAAGAATTCTTGTGGCCAGAGGGTATCAAGACCTTTTAATAAGTTAAAAGATCTAAAAATATGTAGAGTTTAGACTAAAAAGATGTTGTTCCTGGGAAAAACCTAACCAATGAGAGTTAAATAAAAATGAGTTCGCAGATGTTTACCACAGGAGCAAGAAGATTTTTCATGAAAAATTTCCAGGAAAATGGAAGTGAAGCTTTAAGCTGAAAGTAACTAACATCAACTTTAATCCCAAAATATCCTATTTAACCTTGAGGAAGTCTGGACTTACTCAACCGATCAAATGAAGAAATGTATGAAAATCCTAGCAGACACATAGCAAGCTGGCATTTACCTCATTCTCCACTTTTCACTTACTCCTGAGGCTTACCAATTAACAGCTCGATAGCACGTCTTAAGAGAGATCAGAAAGACAGATATTTTAAGTGCAACGAGCTCATTTTCTTTTTCCTCAGGAACTTCAGTAGAAGGGCACTATCTCACAACTCTGGGGTGTCATGGCTGTGGAGAGGGCGCCACCTGCTGCACCCCAATTTCTAACACAGTAGTCTCCCTGAGTACCTGCCTGACCTGCTCCCACAAATGAAATTTGATTAGATCAAAGTTGGGGGAGAGATGAGGAAAAGACATCTGAGGCATTTAATTGTTGTGCTTAGAATAGCAGAATTGTAACTCTGATAGCAAGTAGCCATGTGCTTGTGTATAAGGGTAACACCTTAAGATCATAGCAAAGAATACTCACCAGAAGTCACATCATGCTCTATTCCTTCCACAGAGATGCTGGCATTAGCAATCGGATTACCCTGAAGGTCTCGAACAAATCCCTTAACTCCTCGGTGTATCTATGGAGGACAAGAATGACAAAAAATATTCATGTTAGGAAAAAAAACTAAAAACACATATCATATCAATAATCTCCTTATTTTCTAACAAAATATTATAGATCCTCACTGTTCAAGAACCAAAACGTGTTCAAAAGAGCACTGAATTTTTAAGCTCTCTCTATTCTGCTTATTCTCAGGTGGACTAGTGAGAAGTAACCCCCTGAAAACTGATGTCCTATTCTGAGACAAGGGAAGACTTTGAGGGACCTTCTGAACCACCAAAACAAACATAAATAAAATCTGTCATATCTGTAAAGTAGTTCTGGTCTTAGCATATTTCATTATTTTCTTTTTAATTTGGTCACTTTGGTGTATACCTTATATGTCCGGTTAGCTAACATGGATATTATATTACATTCCTCCAATATTTGTTCATGCTGAACATAAAGACTTAATATTTATTGTATACACAGTATATATAATATATAGATCTATGTATAGTATTATAGATTGTATTGTGTGCATATATAGTATATTATGTAGCATACAGTATATATTCTATACAGTATGTATTACAACACACGATATTCTGTATGTAATATACACTATATACATAGTATATAATGTATGTACATATGTAAATATATATATAGGGCTAGTTTTGCAATAAATCCATTAGGATTATTATTTTGGTTGAAAATAAATGGCATTAAAGCCTAGGAAATATCAAAGCTGAAAGTTGGGTTTAAAAGGGAAATGGAAGAGTTGCTATTGAGAATAATTCCCCTGAATTTAGTTGCAGTCATCACACAACTGACTACTGCAATGTAAATTATAAACACAGCTTTTCTCTTTATTTTTATATGATGATTCAACCAAGTCAATATGTGCTTGAAGTGACAGAGAATCACTTCAGGTCTTTGAGAAAGTACTGCTTCTGGACTATCAAATGGAAACTTATTAAATTTGATAACATAGCAAAATATACCCTGGGCCTCTCAAAAGCTCAGATTGCTCCTCACTCCCCCATAAAATGAATTTTCTTTTCAACTGATGATATTTGAATATTCCCTGCAGAAGGAAGAATGAGTCTCATGTATGCCTTTGTCATCAGAGATGTTTCATCAAAGAGATGCCATTGGCTATCAGCAAATCTTTTTGCATTTGCTAATATTTTTAAAAAGCAGAACCTCTAGAACAATAAAAATAATTCTTTCTGCAAAGCAATTTACAAATGGTAAAAAGCTATATATGTTGTCAGTAGTAATGACTGATGATTGTATTCACATGTAGAATGCAAAGGGCACATACATTTTAAAAAACAAAAATAGATTGAGGACTTAGTGAATCTTTGACCTTTCCCCAAGAATTACCTATGCCTGGCCAACCAAAACTGCAAGAGATCAAAAAGCAGCCACTGGAAACATGAAATGTCAGATTTCTGAGTGAAATTCACAGGTGGAAATGCCAATGGGGATCAGAAAAATTATGGAGAAAAGGAGGAGTGATGCACATCGTGATGGCATCGAGCATAAAACCAGAGAAAAACACATTTTAAATTGTTAGCAGGAGGGCTCTTCAAAGAAATTAGAAAACTCATAAAAGAGAAAGTTTTTACCCACATGTATTTTATTCTCCTTTAAGTGCTATAGTCTGCTATTACCAATATTATAAATCTCAGAGAAATGAAGTTTTAAATCTCCTCATCACTGGAAAATGTCAAACTCTGACACATAACTTCATGCAATTCATGTGTGCTGGTATTAAGCACAAATACACCCATCAATATTCATTTCTTTACTTTTCAGTCTCAGAGAACCAGGATGTTGCTGAATCTGATTTCTTGAAGGGAATCATAAAAGTTCTAATTTCACTTTTTAACCTGCCCCTCCTGTTATGTTTTCTCTTCAGAGTCCAGGACATATCAATCAACCAAGGCAAAAAAAGAAAAAAAAAAAAAAAAGCATCCAGAAAATTCTCCACTGTTGCTAGGACTACTTACATTAGTAGCCCTTAAATTTTCATGTACTTAAGGGTCACCCAGAAAATTTACTGAAATGGAGATCCTGCAGGGAGTGTGATTCAGTGATGAGACATGAACTCTTTTAACAAGAATCTAGTTGATTCTAAGAAAGGTACCCTTGAATGATTCTTCAAAAAAATCTTTGGGAATTTTGAGAAACAGACAGTTACAATGCTATTGAGTGGGAGACTCTCCTTCTTAGCCAATTTATATATCCTAATTAATGTTACAATTTCAGTTTCTGCAAACTTTCCCTTAAAACTCTACAAGAGATTTCTTCTCAACCAATTACACAATTAGGTCTCCTAACCACCTATTTTCCATGAATTGTAAACTAGTCCTACTTAGAATTTAGGCCCAGGTGCTCAATTACTAATCACCACTATACTGTTTCATTATCAGGAAAACAATTACAACAGAGAAATGCTAGCAGCCATCACTGATCTTTTGTCAGCCTTTGATTCCGAAATCGGAGTGTCCTGTTAGGCAAGCTAGATGGGCTCAAGGTAAGTGCCTAACTTCACTTTTCCAGTTGGCACCATAATATTATTGGCATATCAGAGCAGGTCACCTGGAGCTGTGGGTAGACCAAACGTTCCATTCCAAGTGTCCTAAAACAGAACTGCATGACTTCTTTTCAGCTTGTTTCTAGATATCACTATACCATCTGATGAATTAATGCATGCCCAAATGCCACCATAAATATGACAAATGCTCTCCTCTCTCCTGAAGGCACACTTTGTGTTTAAATAAAACACTCCTCCTTAGCCAACTATTTACTCTAATTAATGTTACAATTAATTGGTTTGTATTGCACCTTTATGTTACAAACTAAGAAGATTTAAGCAGTAGATAAACCTGTTATTTAGTTGTCAATCAGAGTAGTAATGCCTTATTGGGAACAACTACAGTAAACATTACAGTATAACTCCAAGAAGTCTTTCATGAACTCTGTAGGGTAAGGAAAAATGTCAGGCTTTTCTGCCCTCCCACCATGAGGATAGATGTTGGATCCTTGCGGTCCTGAATGCATGCCTGATGGCGGGCACCTGGAGTAGGGTGTGGACATAGGTAGATGGGATTCACCTGGGCTGAGACTGGGCTTTTAAGGGCGGCATCACGGGGACGCCAGCAGAATCCGAAAGAGAAGCCGAGAGAGAAGTAAGAGAACAGCAAGAGAAGGCCGGAGAGCCCAGATAGAATGAAGACTTGCTGGGGGCTGGGAGGCCTGCCAGCCTTGCCCGCAGTGCCCCCCAGCACCCTTGCCTGCTGTGTACCCGGTAAATCCTAATAAAAGCCTGCAAAAGCCACTGAGGACTCTGACTCCTCCTTTACCCGGTCTGCTGGGTCATCGAAAACCTGCTCAGTGGTCCTTCCTGACTCTACAAACTCCCAGGACTGGGTTGGGGAGTTCTGTGTACTGCCATTGTTCTTCATAGTTAACCTTTATTTTAGCATTTATGGTGTTCTCTTGTAGTTGGGAATTTATATTTCTGAACCCCGATAAAAGAAAGTCCCTTGAGTGCAGTCACTATGCCCATGTGCCTTACAGGGTGCCTGAGAAACAAAAACAGTTCAATAAATGCTGTTGGAAAAATATGCAAATAAAATGAAAAGCATTGTTTTAAGGAGATATTCTTTGATGTCTAAACAGAGAACACACCAATATCACTATCTTAACTCCTCTACTCCCAAAATACATTTTTCAGCTAACTGCTTTTGGAAGATTTGTCCCAATACAAAGGAGACTTTACAATAGTTCCCATCAAGGTTGCTGAGGATCAAAACAGCTAAGTATCATTAGTGTTCATTGTTTAAAAACACCTTTTAATGTAAACATACAGCAGGCTCCCTTGATTGAACAACCTCCTGCAGGATGGGTGTTTTTTAATCAGTGGGTCTATTCCTTAATAGTCTCCTTTGGATAGCTCACACGTGTAAAGGAATTTTTAAGCTCGATTTTGGAGTTTTTTAAGTGCGTTGGTGTAGGGTGAGGTAAAAAGTATTAGGCTTTTCTGCCCTCCCACCATTAGGATAGATGAGGGAACCCTGTGGTCTCGAATGCATGCCTGATGGCGGGCACCTGAAGTGTGTACACCTGGGCTGAGAGACTGAGTTTATAAGGGTGGCGTCACGGGGACGCCAGCAGAAGCTGAGAGAGAAGCAGAAGCATAAAGAACCACGAGAGGAGCAGAGAGAAGGCCAGAGAGCCAGACAGAGTGAAGACTTGCAGGGGGCTGGGAGGCCTGCCAGCCTCCTGGCCCCCCAGCACCCCTGCCTGCTGTGTACCTGGTAAATCCCAATAAAAGCCTGCAAAAGCCACTGAGGGCTCCAGGACTCCTCCTTTACCATGTCTGCTGGATCAGAAAACTGCCCTGTGTCCTTTCCTGCCTTACAATTGGTTTCCTGTATGCATGTTTATTTATGTATTTATATATGTATAAATACAGGCATTTATTTATATGCATATTGTAGGGTCAGGAATGGTCACTGAGCAGGTTTTCTGATCCATTGCAGACCGGGTAAAGGAGGAGTCAGAGTCCTCAGTGGTTTTGCAGGTTTTTTATTGGGGTTCACCAGGCATATGGCAGGCAGGGTGCTGGGAGGCTAGCAGGCCTCCCAGCCCCCAGCAAGTCTTCACTCTATCTGAGCTCTCTGGTGATCTCTGGTGATTTCTGCTTCTGCTTCTCTCTCAGCTTCTCTTTCAGCTTCTCCTGGCGTCCTCATGACGCCACCCTTAAAAGCCCAGTCTCAGCCCAGGTGAATCCTATCTACATCTGCCCACACCCTACTCCAGGTGCCCACCATCAGGCATGCATTCAGGACCGCAAGGATCCACCATCTATCCTGATGGCAGGAGGGCAGAAAAGCCTGACATTTTCTTTACCCTACAATATGTACATATATTTATTATATATTATTTATGCATATATGCATAACTACAGGCTGTCAAGGCACTGCAGGCAAGGAACAGAGACTAGGTCTTTTTTAACCACTGCCCCTGCAGCCAATGTCTGCTTGCTACAGAGGAGTGGAGCTGGCAGGGCACAGGCCTGGAATGAGTCTGAGTAGGTAAGGTTATTTTTTTCTGACAGGTGATGAGGGTCTGCGCAAGCCCCACTGGAAAGGCCACGAAATGGCCACCTGATAATGTTCTAGGCTATGTCATGAGAGGCCCTATCACATGGTGACTCTGGGACTAGACAGCTGGATGCAAATTCTGGATGAGTGACGTTATGCAATTTTTCGTTTCTGATTCTCCACTTATAGTTCGATGATGATGATGATAATAAAGGAGGAAAAGGAGAGAGACTGAGGAGGGAAAGAGATGGGTGAGAGAGAAGAGGGGAAAGTGGAGAAGGAATAACTTCCCTCATAGGGTTATTCTAAGAATTAAATGCATCAATTATTACATGTACTTGGGAATAGTACCTGGGAAACAGGAAATGCCCAAAAAGTGTTAGCCATGATTATTATCACCTCGGTCCAGCTGAGCCTAGGGTGAGACTAATGAGGCGTGTGGGGCACAAAATTTAAGAAAACACTCAGGAGCCAACCCTATACCTCCATGACCCCAGAGTGCACACCTTCTGAAACTGTGTGAGTTTGCTCCTTTGCTTGGCTTCCACCAGCCATGATCTGCCTGAGATACTTGACATCCCCATGGTAACCAGGACAGAGGAGGGTCCCAGAACTGCCCTTAGAGCTCTAGAAATAAAAACAGGCTTCATCGGACTTCTACACAAATCTCCAATTTAATCAGCTCTCAGTGAATATTCATGAATCACAAACCTCATGACAAACGAAAGCCTATTTTAACCACAGCTGACACATTTTCCAAATGCAGCGTCCTCACCCTGGGTCACATGGATTCCCCTGGACTGGACTCCTCTCAGGAGACTACTGTACACCAGGCTTAAATGTTCATGAATCTCTCATTTAATACAGGAGATTGTATTTACCTGCTCAAGGTAACTAACAAGGGAGTTTTTGTTATCCTCCCAGTAGCGCTTCAGAGACTCCTCAGGTGGAAACTTTTCACAGCTAAGCTCCACGGTGATCTCAAAACAATTGCTGCTGAGGTAATTGAAGTCTTGCATTCCTGCCAAAACACCAAATGGAAAGTTAAAATATGCATGTGGCAACCAAAATTCTGTATAGGCCGTTATAATGAATGGACAGCTAAATAAAAGATCCACCAACCAGTGCATTTTGGGAAGCCTATGGGTTCCACAAAAGAAATCACCTACTGTTAGCAATAGAACAACATACTTAGGAGACTGGTATTATTTCAACAGTGCAAACTCCCAAGGGTCTTAAGCAATCATATGACTTAATGCACGGCTGCTGCGGGGTGCTAATGTGGGTGTCAGCTACAGTCCACATGGCTGGAAAAGCCTCAAAGAAGAAACAGCAGTGATGTCGTCAAAGTGGTGAAATAGGAGTTTCCACATCTTTCTCCACAAAGGGCACAATTATGACAATTAAGACGAAAAGAAAACCTTTGTGGAAGTCCATGAGTCCAGTGGAGAGGCTCCACCACAGCACTAGAGGAAAAAAATCCAGGATTGGACACCTTGAAGAGGTAAGAGGAACTGTATCACTTAACCTGAGCCTTTGCTGTCCTAAGGTGGCACAGCTTAGTCCCAGAGACCTAGTTAATAGCCTAATTCACCACATTGCAAAGGTAAGTATATAGCCAGGCTCAGAATACTTTCATGCTGTAATATGGTGGTGTGTAAGTCACTTACTACTTGCATAAAGGTTATTCAAACAAAAACATTAAGAAATAAAATGGCTACAAAAATGTATTGATGGATACACAATATGAAAAAAATATGAATTGTGAAATCAAAAAGTGGGGCAAGAGTGGCTATCAAAGTTAGCTTGTGATCAAAGTTAGCTTGTGATCAGCTATCAAAGTTAGCTTGTGATCAGCTTAAAGTGGGCTGTTGAGTGGATAAGATATTTTATATAAACCTCATGGTAGCCACAAAGCAATGTGGATTCAAAGACTTAAAGTGAATCAAAGCACCCCACCATAGAAAATCCTCCACTCACAAAGGAAAAGAGCAAGAGAGGAGGAAAGGAAGAAAAAATTATGAAACAGAAAACAATAATTAATCCGGCATTAGTAAATCCTTAACTATCAATAATGACTTAAATATACATGATTCAATTCTCCAATCAAAAGGTACAAAGTGGCTGAATAGATTTTAATAGTCTTTAAAAAAGCCCCAGTATGAATTTAATGGTCACTTGGTATCCACTGTGTATAAAACCAAATGGTAATATTTAAAATTTCACCAAAGTGGCAAGGCAGCTACGGTAACCAACCTGAGGGGAGAAATCCTAATAGGATTAGAATTTTAACAAGGATGTAAAACAACAGCACTTCATTAAAATAAATAAAATGAAAATATTTTGAAAATTAAAACCAATCTTCACCAAAAATATGATTCTGCATCCAGAACAACTTTAATTTGAACCGGATTCAAATTAGTAATGGACGCTGTTGCTGTCCCACCCCCACCCCCAAATGCTTTTCTGAGGGCAGTAACCCCATCCCCAAATTTCGGTTAAGTGTTGGCTAACAAGAGCTCACAGCTGCTTCTGTTTTCTGGTGGAATGCTGATAGGAGCAAGTCACTTGGGAGGTTATACCCAACCATCATCTCCAGACCAAACCCCTCCACAGCAGCCCATAACAATAACTAATTGATAAGCGCCACCAAGAGTTTGCCCCCTTGCCTCAGAATAGGACAAGTCTACAGGCCTGTGATTAAGGCTTGAAGCCTCATCTCAATGGCTCAGGCTAAGAAAGGCTAGACCTCCCCTGAGCCACATCCTTGCTCAGCTCCATCCCCATACTGACCCTGCTGCTTTCATTCCACACAGGTTTTCCCTAAAAAGCACCCCCTCAACAAACTGAGCATCTGAGTCCTCACCTCTTCTAGAAAGTCTGACCTAAGATACTGACTTTATTTAGTAGGTAGAGAATTAACGAAAGTGAAAGTTTTCTTTGCTTGATTATTGTGAGACAAATCATTGACCCAGATTAATATTATTATTATTACTACCTTAGAGTATTTGGTATTCTACAATGTGCTGGTAATCCCAAGGGAATACTAACGCTTTATAAAAAGTGAAGTATAAAATTACTTCCTGTGTGATCTGTTTGACATTGTGTAAATACAAGTATGACATAGACATTATTTTACAAGCTGTTGGGGCTAAATCTGATTTGATGCAAAATATAAGTTAAAACAATAAACGTACCTCAGGAAGAATACTTTTCTCAAAGTAGTCTTTGAGAATACTTTAACCAAATTTAACCCCCCAAAAAGCATATAAAACCCATGATTAGCTACTGATCCTACTGCCCTAATTCTCTTTTTTCATTTCCAGGGGGACCACAGAAAATTATTCATAGACAAAGACAGGGGAAAAATATCAATATCTTACATTTCACTTTTCAATCTCAGGAGGTGAATATTATACCACTCTTATAGGTACAGGTAACCATAAAAAAAATAGAGCTCTGGGAAGTTCTTGTGAGAGCAAAGAGCCAGGAGAGCTACATAATCTTGGTGAAGATGCCTCCTCAGGCTCTGCCTGCCATTGTTATTCTAGCATTCAAGAAATGCAAAATGGTGTGTGGACCAAGATAAGCTAAAGGTCAAAGCCTGCCTTCTACAGTTATTTGTCAAAGCATTACTAAGGTAATAAAGATACTATCTTATTCCCTAAGGTCAAAGTTTGAAAAGGAGAATAGTGACAACATTCAATTAGTATTTTCCCAATGGCTGTGCTAGTTCACTTCCTAGATTTCTTCAATTAGCATCTTGATTTTTAAAAATCAACAAAACTATACATAGTGATCATTCATGCAGAAAATGGACTCATTTTAATAGATGAATTATAGGTTCAGTGAATTAAACGAAGGAAAGCATACCACTTAATGACTTAATGACTGAAGAGGACAGGAGATTCCCCACATCTCATTCCCTCTCTGCACCTCAATTTCAAATACAAGCAAACTACTATCACATAATTAAAGACCGAAGTGGGACCTCACCACCAGGCACGCTGTACCAGGCTGCACCATTGGTCGTTCCATCTACAAAGCTGCTATCATCATCATTCTTGCGACACGGTGGCCGATTGGGGTCTGACATGGGGGCGTTGAAAGAGGAGTAAGCCCTAGCCAGGCTCTGGAAGATGGCATCATCTGGGCAGGAGCTATACTCATGTGCAGTACCTAAAAACAAAGCCACAAGTTTGAAGAAACTGACATAACTCAAGAAGCACTGCATGCTTCCAGAGAGTGACTTACTGTGGACCTCTTGCTGATGCCTTTTTTTTTTTAATATTTTATTTTATATAATTCTTACAGCATTTTTCATCTTTGTACAATGCATGCATTTTCATTTTGGTTATATTCCCCATGCAAACTGCACCCCCCCTTATTTTTGACTCTAGTTCTTCCTCTTCCAGCTCCCCCCCGCCCCAGTGTGTCTCTGGTTTATAGTTGCTTGTTGATTTTGATTATTACTTTGCATTGATTAGTCATTTTCCTGGTCTCTTATTTAGGTTTTCTAAATTCCTGCTATGATGCCTTTTTTTAAGTTACATCTCTATGGGAATGGAGCCAAAGTTTAAGTACTCAACAGTTACACTTAGTTTTTAGGTTATATGTCTTCCATTCCTAATAGAATAAATAGGAAATTGGGTAAAAGGGACATTCTACTTATGAATTAGAAACCACAAAAAAAAAAAAAAGGTGACAAGCTCATAGTAAACTGGATATGAGAAAACAGTAGAGATTTCCACTGTTAACATTTTTCATTTAAAAAATGTACATGGACCAGCGTCATGGCCACTATGAGCCATTCTCATACAGCCTTTTTTCAGTAACTGAGTTCAAAGTTTAAAAAAAAATCCCCTATGTTTAATATGGAAAGAAATGTTTTATATTTTGAGACACTGTATCCTTATTCAGATAGTTGACAGGTTATTAAATTTCTCAGCTATTGATGAACCACAAAAATCTTGAAAGTTTAATGATGTTTTGCCAAAGACTTTCTTCAAAACTCAAAGTTTTCAGTATCTAAAATTATCACTCCATGTTTACAAATTCCTCAAAAGCCCCTGAGGATTGATCTAAAGCAGAAAATTTGGCACCACAAAAATTAAACTGAACCTATCTATCTGGCTACAGATGCTATGCCTGCAGTATAACTAAAAGTAGTTAAAGAAAACCAAAGCACCTCCGAGCACCACTGGAAATAGTTCCAAATACAAAGACAAAGACGTGAGAGCACAATTAACCTCATGCAGAGAGAGACCTACATGGCTCCTGATTAAGCACTAAGAAGAGGCCTCCATTTTAAGCCCTCTTCTACACAAATCTACACAGATTTCATTCTCTCCTTTCCACATAGGCCAGGAGTGACACCTTTATGACTTCTGTCATAACCTTTGTCTAAATATTCTTTCAAGTTCATAGTTCTCTCACCTAAACTTTTTATTTTTAAGTTACAGGCTTTTCCTGCCAAAAATATGCCTGTGCCCCATGAAATAGTTAGGTAGATGATCCTGTGAAGCTTAGGTATCTCTATAGGCAAAATCTCTATAGGCAAAATCTCTATAGGCAAAATCTTTATAGGCAAAATCACTTCATGGCCAGTTTCTTTAATGTTACAGAAATCATCCTACAAGCCCTCGAAAGTCTTTTCCAGATGCAACTAGTGAGAGAAGCAGGAAGAATACGCACCAGTCCGTGTCTCATCATATGGGTAATTGGCCACCAGGTCGCCACCATGGAGATTGGCAGACAGCACGAACGGGATATCCATGATCCAGTGAATGACAGCCTTAGTCTCAGGTGCAAGCTGTATTAAAAAGTAGAGGCCAAAGGGTTATAAATTTGATATTCATTGGTGGAATTGATTGATATAAAAGATATGCAAAAAACAAAAACAACATGACTGAAAGCTGTTCATATTTCAAGCAACTTGTGATTCTCACAGGAAATAAAAGGCTCCTGTCTCACTCAGATATTTCAACAGTGCTTACATTTCCTTAAAAGTTCTACTTTTGTGGGTCGCCAGCCTCTTCTCTCTTTGTAACTTGAAAACCAGCATACACATCACTTACAAATTTGGGGATGTTTGTTTATAATGGCTGAGGATGGGCCTCCCCGGTGGCTCAGCTGGTTGAGCGCAGGGCTGTGAAGATATCCACACCCTCTGCAGCATGGGTTCAATTCCCAGCTGGCCACGGAGATACCCACATGGTGCGGCAGACCTCTCCTGTCTTGCCCACTGCTCCCCTCAGTAGTGTTTTTGGTCCGTCTGCTTGTTCTGCTCCCCACTCTGTCTCTGGTGAATTCTCTCACCCTCCTGTGCCGTTGGCCTGTACCCCAGTTCTTGTATAAATAAATAATTCTTTAAAAAAAAAATAATGGCTGAGGATAAGACAAGGAGAGAAGAAAAGACTTGAACTGCTGAGCAGCATTCTTTTGTCTGTGATGATTCAACTCTAGAAACATGTGGTAGATTTTATTTCCAATGTTTGCTTGCTTTTTTTCCAATTCCCGGATTCAAACATTATCCCTCTAAAAAAAAAAATATTGGGTCTCTTTCAGAGTTTACTTTAAAACATCAGTTTTCTTTGGGATGATCATCTTAAATTTTAAATCAAAGACAAAAGTTTCAGGAATTCATGTTGTCTTTTGAATGATTCATAGTCCCTGGTATCTTGGAAGAAAAACAAAGGATGAAAGAAATTTATACCAAAGAATTAATTTGGAGCCAAAACCTTAATTTCTTTATGTTGATGAGTTTTTTTTTATAATAAATTTTATTTTCATATTCCCCATACAATTTCAACCCCCCCAATTTTGACCCCAATCCCTCCCCTCCCTCCACCCACCCCCCCAAAAGTGTTGATGAGTTTTTAACAGCAACTAGGGAGAGCCTCAAACTTCCAAGAACCTCAGTAGGGTCTGATGGTTATAATAAGATCTTGTATTTAGATATCTCTGTTCAGTTTATGAAAAGCCTGCACATGTACTATTTTATTGAGCTTCATAACATTCTCATTATATAAGTAAAGATTTTCATCTCCATTTCACAGGGAGGAATCTGAAGATCAGGTCCATTAATAACTTGTCCATGTCTCTACACCTCAGTAACGTCTTTAAAGACACATCACCCAAAGCAGTGACAGTGAAGGCAAAGATAAACAGCTGGGACTACATCAAATTAAAGAGCTTCTGTATAGCAAAAGAGACAGTAATCAAAACAGAGACACCCCACTGATTGGGAGAAAATTTTTGCACACAACACTAATGATAAAGGACTGATCATAAAAATCTACAAAGAGCTGATGAGACTCAACAAAAACAAAGTAAATAACCAGTCAAAAAATGTACCAAAATTAATCTATGTTTCAGAGACTACTTAAAATTGTGGAAAAGTGTGACTTATAATTGTGGAAAAACAATAGGGTATTGTTTTTGTTATTTTACTTATTCTCATTAAAAAGGAACACATTCATAATAGAAGATGTAGAGAAGATAAAGAAAAGAAAAAATCATCATTACTCAAAATTTTACCCTTTAAAGATACCCACCGCTATCATTTTTATGTATCATTTTCAGTATTTTTCCAAAACACTTAAATTTTTTTAAAGAGGATACTTACAACCATTTGGTACTGTAGTATTTTTAATTGACAACAGAAAACACTTTTCCATGTCACTGAATACCCTTCTAAATTATTACTTTAATGGCTGAGATATTTCAATGTATGGATATATCATTCTCAAACCTGAACAAAATGATAGCTAATACTTAGTAAATATGTTCTGTATAACCCACTGAGTCCTTACACCCACCCTATGAGATAAGGGACTGTATGTTCCCCCATTTTACAGATGAGTAAACTGAGACACAGATAAGTTAGGGAACATGAAATCACTCAGTTGAGAGTATCCTGGGTACTTTAATTACTTAAATTTAAGTAATCCATAGAGAGACTTCTGGAGCATTCCTAAGATCGAGCCAATTTTGGTTACCCTATCTACAGCCAATTATGACCTATCCTTAAAGCTTCCATTTAAAGGAAAACTGGGTCGCTACATGCAAAAGAATGAAGCTTGACCACTACCTCACACCATACACAAAAATCAACTCAAAATGGATTAAAGAACTAGACATAAGACCTGAAACCATAAAATACATAGAAGGAAATATAGGCGAAACACTACGGGATTTGCACATCAAAGACATCTTTACAGACACATCACCCAAAGCAGTGATAGTGAAGAGAAAGATAAACAGCTGGGACTACATCAAATTAAAGAGCTTCTGCACAGCAAAAGAGACAATAACAAAAACAAAGAGAAACCCCACCAACTGGGAGAACATTTTTGCACCCAACACTAATGATAAAGGACTGATCACAAAAATCTGCAAAGAGCTGATGAGACTCAGCAACAACAAAGAAAATAATCCAGTCAAAAAATGGGCAGAAGAGCTAAAAAGAAACTTCTCTGAAGAGGAAATGCAAATGGCCAACAGACATATGAAAAAATGTTCAACATCACTTGTAATCAGGGAAATGCAAATCAAAACTACCATGAGATACCATCTCACACCAGTGAGAATGGCACATATTAAAAAAACTAGCAACAACAAATGTTGGCGAGGATGTGGAGAAAAAGGAACTCTTGTGCACTGTTGGTGGGAGTGCAAACTGGTCCAACCACTATGGAGAGCTGTGTGGAGATTTCTGGACCTACTAAACATAGAGCTTCCATATGATCCAGCAATTCCACTCCTAGGTATTTACCCAAAGGACACAGAAACATCAATTCCAAAGAGCACCTGCACTCCTATGTTTATAGCAGCACTGTTTACAATAGCTAAGCTTTGGAAACAACCCAAATGCCCAAAAATAGATGACTGGATCAAGAAGATGTGGTACATATATACCATGGAATATTACTCAGCATTCAAAAAAGATAAACACATGCAATTTGCAGCAACATGGATGGCACTGGAAGGGATCATGCTCAGCAAAATAAGCCAAAAAGAAAAAGAAAAATACCGGATGGTCTCACTCATAGCAGGAATCTAGAAAACTTAAATAAGGGACCAGGAAAATGAATATAAGAAAGTGAAAATCAAAATCAACAAAAAACTATGAACCAGAGACACTTTTTGGGGGGTGGGGGGCGGGAGGGGAAGGATTGGGGTCAGAATGGGGCGTTTGCAATTGTATGGGGGAATATAAAAATAAAATTTAATATTAAAAAAAAAAAAAAAAAAGCTTCCATTTAAAGGCTGCAAATGTAGCTCAAACATTATGCTCTATAATTTGATGACTTTTGCTCTTAAAGTATATTAAAGTTATATTTATTCCATTTTAGTCACAATTCTAGTTATTAAAGGTGAGCATAAACTTAATACAATTATTTGATTGATTTTATTTTTTTTAAGATTTATTTACTTACTTACTTATTTATTTATTTATACAAGAACCGTGGTAAAGGCCAGATGCGCAGGAGGATGAAAGGATTCACTGGAGACAGAGTGGGAAACAGAACAGGCAGACTGACGAAATACACTGCTGAGGGGAACAGCGGGTGAGACAGGAGAGGTCTGCTGTGCCATGTGGGACCCTCGCCAGCCCGCCGGGATGGAACGGGCACTGCAGAAGTTGCAGACAGCTTCACAACACTGCGCTCAACCACCTGTGCCACTAGGGGAGGTCCTATTTGATTGATTTTAATGCAAGCAATCTAGGCGGACTCCTGTATGATCCCAGAAAACAGCATAGGTGACCAGGCTAAAGAAAAGTGAGAGAAATGACTTAGCAAGAAAATTTGGGGGCCTCACTTATGGCGCAGGGATTAAAGTCTCAGCACTATCAAATGAATGCGCCACTGCAGCATGAGTTAGATCCCCACCAGGAAGCTAACCCACATGGCACAGCAGACCTTTCCTGTCTCATCCACTGCTCCCCTCAGCAGTGTATTTCAGTAGATCTGTATGTTCTGCTCCCCACTCTGTCTCTGGTGAATCCTCTCACCCCCTGCACCTCTGGCCTATACCCCAGTTCTGTATACATAAATAAAAATAAATCTTTTTTGAAAAAAAGAAAATTTTGGAAGATCAGGAGAGTTTTTCTTCAGAGAGGTTTGGAAGAGCAAGGAGAACACGGGGAAGACATGGTAAAATGTAGCTCCTCTCCATCATCTACATTCTGAGCACACACACCCCGTACCTCCCCAGTCAGCACCCATGAGAATCTGCACTTTTAACCCCTACTTCCCAGCATAGCAAATATAAACTAACTTGGAAATTTAAAAGCCTCTATTAGAGACCAGCTAATAGTACATTCTATAAGTATTTGCCTTTGGTTTTTTAAATATATGAAAGCCATATTTATTCCATTTTCATAGTTGGTGGATTAGAGAACAAGGGATATCACAGTCAGAACAAGGAATGGGCCAGCCAGCAGCTGACAGAGGCCAAGGGAAACTTGAATGACCCTGGAACTATAATAAAATGAGGAAATTGTACTTTCCAAGTTCTCACTTAGGAACAGTATTAGAAGTCGTTGATAAGTCCAGCTGGAAATTTCTGGAACAATAGAGGAGGAACTGAGAGCTGCCAAAAGAGCTCTTCTCCACCCTTCCTTCATGATGGGCTCTTCTTCCCCTCCAAGTAATTGAAAACAATGTTCAGACAATATTGATCTGAAAGAATACCAAATGTCTAGTGGATGTGTAAACGTGTCCACCCAACTGGGGGTACAAAACAGAGAGTACTGAAAATCATGCTGAAATGACAGCAAGAGTTCAAGGTCCTGACCTCAAATACTTCATGTGTATCAATTCGTTCAATCTCTAGACTCCTCCTCTGAGGTGAACACTATTGTCACCTCCAAATCGCAGATGAAGAAATGGAAGTAGACTGTGATTAAAATAACTTTCCAACACTGACATGGCAAGTAGGGAGTCAGGTCTTGAACTAAGGAAAGCAAAAGAGCAATAATTTGTGTGCAAAGGGTACTCTGGAGGAATTTGAGAAGACTGAATAGAGTTGGGAGAAGCTAACAACAAAACAAGAATCAGCAACCATTGTATATTGGCAGAGGCTGATAAGGGAGCTGAACTAAAGCAGTAAAATTACTTTGCAGGAGAGATAAAGACTGGAGCTAAGCTAAGGAGGTCAAATCACTGAGATTCAATAACTAATCACTGGCAAGTGGTGACAGACAAAGAAAAAGCAAGGCTTTAATGATGGGTTTAACGCACGTTGTTTTAGGGAAGACTGCCTAGTCTTGGTCATGGTAAGCTTCGGATCCTGGGTGCCCAGATAAAGGGACTCAATCAAGTAAAATGAGAAAGGGATCTCAGGGAGATCCAGAAAAGAAAATCTGGAGTTGTAGATGTGAACCTGGAAGACCTCATATAATAAGTGGCATTGAAGGCACAGGCCAGGATGGAAACCTAGGGAAAGAGACAGGGTTTCACAGGGGATCCTAAAGGTGAACATTTAAGGCAGGGCGGGAGAAGCAGGGAAAGAAACTTAGCAGAGATTTGAAAGGCAGTAGAAGAGGTAGGAGAAAGTAGAGTTCTAAAAAGCAAGGGAGGAGAAATTACTGGAAAAGAAGAAAAAAAGGTCAACTTTGGGAAGTGCTGTAGGAGAAGCAGATCAGACATGCTGACAAGGGCCTTGGGAAAGTCCTTGTGAAGACTGAGACACCCACAGCTGGGTTCTTTCCTCATCCCCAACTTCTAACTCACTCCCCAATGTACCTGCCCAGTTCTAGGGAACAGGACTAACTTTAAGGCTCCAGCCTTTTCAGCCTGGACTTGTACAGCCACAGTTATGGATCCCACACAATCCTTGCCGTCTATGACCACCACTGTGATGACGATATTGGAACTTAATTCCATAGGCTAGAGGACAGAACCCAAGAAAATTACATGTGTTCTCTACCTTTGTGTTTTGGTCCACAATTTTCTTCAGGTTTTTCAACAGATGATTATTTGGCCCACCTTCTTTCTCATTAACATAAACGATCCTATCCAGATCAGGGAAGTTCCGATTCAGGTCTATTCCCTGGGCATTGCTTCGACCCACAAACCAGTCCTTCAGCTCGCCAGGCTAAACAAATCAAAGAGAAAAATCATCAGTTATTCATGATTGTTGTGTTAACTACTTAAGATTTTCATTAATGATTTTTAAGATCATTTATTGAGATTCTTATTTTAACAATAACCTCCCATAATGGTATTTTCACTATTTTACTGAAATAAGCATGAAGTAGTTAGATATTTTTAATAGATATTAAAAAATATATTTTCAAAGAGTAGTATTTTAAATGTTAATAATATTTAAAAGATACTTGTCATCAAATGGCTAAAAAGTCCATGTATATTAAGTAGTCATAGATAATGTGCTTCAAAGCAAGTCACTATTAAAATATTCATTGCCTCTGTAAATCACAGTAATCCATTTTTTATATATCCAGAACAAATCACTAAAAAACAATTAGAAACTGCAAATGAGCTTAGCATGAATCATGGTAATATATATAATGTATATATACATATCCTTATAGTCTTCATAAAAAACATAAGCATTATAAGAAAAGTTCTAGAGCTTTTCAAGTTGAGGAAATTCTGTTGAATTTTAAACCCTTCATTTCACAAAGGGTAATTTAACAAATTTCCAAGATACTCAGCTATTATTCCATAATGAAGATTTTCTTGACTATTAAATAACATCAAATTTTTGACATATAGATAAATCCCGTATTTTTGAGGTTATGACAGCGCAAGAACCTTAAATTATGAGGTATATGACTGTTGAATACTAAAATGGAGGCATCTAGAGGGGGAGGCTAGGATGGAGAACACGGAGTAGGGACATGGTGGACTGTGGTGGAGTACTATGGGTACCTTGGTGGTGGGTGTGGGGTGGTGACACACCTGAAGAGAACTGATGCTATACCTCTGAATCATATACAATGTAGTAAGCCACTACCACATGAGTAAAAAAATTTTTTTAAACTTAAATTACAGTCAAAAAGTCTACGACAGAAAATAGCATGATAATCTTTTGTCCAATCTATGTTGCAAATATAAATATCATCTTTAAAATTAAATAATTCCAGTACTAGTGTTTTTTCTCTCATAACTGAAGATCAAATTAGACTTATTTACAGAAATTCACTGTTTCTTACACTGTCAAACCACCTGGTAATTAGATCTTTTATTTTTAAGGTAAAAATGGACTTTTTAAAGTATATAGGCATATACTTTAATGTATTCCCATAAAATAAGAAAATTATTTCAAACTGTACAACACAGCAACAATGCCCTCCACCCCAAACAAGAAGAGATGTACCATGTATCTTTGCTTAAAATGACACTACTGTCCAACTTCTCTAGCAGCTAAAATGTATTAAATTTAGTTTACAAAAAACCCTAGAAATTATGACTTCAAGTTTGAGCCTACTAGGGGAGGGGAGGTTGGGGTGGGAAGAAAGTGAGCAGGGAGACCAATGGTCTAAGGTAAAAGACTGGGTGCTTTGGTGGTGGGTGTGACGTGGTGGCCTAAATCATACAGTGTTGTGAATCTATTTTGCCTCATAAAAAAGTAAAAAATTAATTTTAGTTTAGAGGTAGGAGGGTTGGGTTTTTTGGGTTTTGTTTTTAATTTTATTCATCACGCATGACAAGGCTTAAACATCAGTGAAACCGTTTTTTCAGGCAAAAAATAAAAACTTCCTTAGTCCCAGTAGAGGGCGCTATGACATCACCTCATTCAGCGGCTGGAAAAGCATTAAATCCTCCTCAATACATGGCAGTAGATAATTTTTCATAGTTATAGATTTTCAGAACGAAATGGACCTGTTCATAAATGTGGATGAATGAATATGATTTGTTTAACCACAAAAACATTCATTAAAATAAATTAACATTCATTTAATTAATTCAATTAAAAATTGAATTATTAACAAAAGTTCTCACATGTAATCTCTGCTGAAGAAACTCTCGCCCTTACCTTTTGAACTTTTTTCTTACCATCAAGTTGAACATCACTCATATTTTCCCCTGACCTGTCTGTAAAATTCATGTGAGTGCACTACTTATAAATGAGCAAACACACACAAAAAATGTGCAAATACACCAAATGGAGAAAGTGCTCCACGCACCTGAGATGCAGCCTTCTCGAAGCCATCCGGGTTCAGGGAGGGCATGATGTGGATCCGGGTGTTGTGGATCAGCTTGACAATTGTCTCATTCCCCTTTTGGTATTCGTTGCACAGGTACTGGGCCAAGAAAATGAGCAGTTCCCGGCCAACAGCCTCATTGCCATGCATGTTCCCGATGTATTTAAATTCCGGCTCACCTGGAAAATCCCAAAGAAAGAGTGTGGAGACTTTTCTAGCTTCAGAGAGAAGGCAAATGAGGTAGTGTCAAATAGATTGTGCATCTTCTAATTAATTACCCATAGTTGACAGCTTCTTTTCCTTCCAGAGGTGATATCTAAGATAATCTGCCTTAATCATCAAAACACTCTAAATGCCCCTTCTATTTCCCTGTCTCTCTCCCTTATTACTCACTTGCTATTGACTAAAATGTACCTGCCCCCAGCCATTCATACATTGAAGCCTTAACTCCTAAAATTGTCTGTATTTAGGGCTGGGATCTTAGAAAAGGTATTTATGGTTAAATGAATTCATAAGTGCGCAGTCTAATCCAATAGAACTGGTGCCCTTATAAGAAAAGAAAAGACATACCCTCTCCCTCTCTCCCCACCCTTTTGACCTTCATGGAAGAACCCAGGAAGAAGGCCCACCAACCAGGAGAAATGTCATCGGAAACCAGCCCTGCTCGCACCTTGATCTTGGATTTTCAGGTTTCAGACTGCGAGCAAATTCATTTCTATTGTTTAAAATGACCCAACCAGTGGAGTTGGGTTATGGCACGCAGGGCAGAAAAACACCCACTCCACCCTCAATAACTAATAGTAATAACAACACACTGTGGGCCTCCTATCGGTCAGTCACTGAACTTGGGCTGTTCTCTTATTTAGTCCTCACCAAATGTCTACAAGTAGATTTTATCCATCTCTATTTGCAGATGAACAAACTGAAGTCCAGACTGCTGAAGAGGCCTGGCTACAGCTGCACAGCCCGTGAAGCCAGGATACAAACGCTGATTTCATTTAGTTAGAAGTCTATGCCCTAAAGCATTGGCTTCAAGGCCAGACTGCATAAGTTCAAAGCCTAGCCCCAGTTTTCACTGGCTGGCCTTGAGCAAGCAAATTCATGTCTCTGGGACTCTGCTTCCTTATCTATCAAATGATACCACCGATTTTACCTCATTAGCTTATTATATGAGCTAATGGAAATATTGAGTATAAGCGCTTAGAACGGTCGGTACAAGGCAGATAACAAGTGCTATGTTCTTGCTCTAAATACTAGTAATAATAATAATATATCCCATTATCCTGTCATTGTGAGGTGACTTATCACATATCTATTCTAATTTTTTCTTTACAACAGTTCACTAAAATGTGAAAGACAGATATTTTTATTTTTATTCTATAAGTACAACCCAAAGAAAATTAAATTTTGCTGAAGGGCTCAGAACCCAAACATAAATCACACTGCCCATTTCTGCTGCTTTTCATTGAATTATAGAAGGAGTAATAAATTTGCAGAGAACAGCAGCTGTGATGTTAATGAATCCTGTTGTTCTGTTCCTTTCTATTTCACCCATCCCATAGGCCCAATTTCTCCTGGAAAGGATTCTCCCATATTTTTAAATCACTAGCACAGCTCTTCCCTGGTAAAAGAATAGAAGTTGAAATTACTTTTCTCCTGGAAATATGTTATCTAAATACCCTTTGCATGAGATTCCTGTGTGTGTGTGATTTAAAAGACTGTCAACCAGAGAAAACCATGTCCTTGTGTGACCTCTCAGCCTGAGCTTAAACTAATCTTAATCTAAGGATCAGATGGGAACAGGACCAGTGCTATTTATACTCCCTCACTTTTTGCTTTGAGTGAAAGTCTCTAATAAAACTACCCCTAGGGACCTGCCCAGAAGATAAGAAGTATTTTCTTTGCTTCTGATTTCAAACATCATCATGGCCTTTTTTCCTTTCTGTCAAACTAATGTGTTTCCATGCCTTTTACAGGATGTATTCATTTGGTTGAGGCACGGAGAAATGGTAGCATTCCATTCCAAAAGGAAATAGAGACCAAGTAGCCAGAGGGTACTAGATGCCTGCCTCCCAAAGTTATTTGAAAAGTTTGCACTGTTGGATGCACCCTGTCCTGTTCCCTCACCCCAACATAGCTTTGAGTCTCCAATCACTTAAAAGAGCTTGAGTCACAGCCCAAAGAATAAAGTAAGCACTGTGAAATTTTCTATTACTCCTCTGAATTAAAAAAAAAAAAGTCTTTAATCATTTAAAGTTTAAATAGCAAATTCATAGTCACTTAGCCAAATTTGCTCACCCTCCACTATGTTGTTTGGATACCACATTATATTTTGTTATTTAAATGTTCTGGGCTGGGAATTATTTCCTAGTTCTGCCACAGTCTGCACCACTCCCTATTGCTGCTTTATGTATTTATGTTTGCAAATCATGATTACCAAAGTCAGAAAACTTCCAATATGGTTTCACTTCTTCAATTATGTAGGCAATCTCTTTCTTAGGAACAAACCTTCCTCAATATGTCTATTATATATGTAAGGAGATAGTAGTAATAATGACATTATGTATGGAAATGAAATCCAAAGCAGTTTTCAAGAACAAATTAGATCACAATAGTGCTATCACCAGAATGCAAGTGGCTGGGTTCTTTTAAACCTACTGACATGTCTTGTGAGACAAAGAACAAAGAAGAGCCACAGTTTAAGCACAGCATTTGTAGAATACATATATATATATATATATATATATATATATATATATGCAAACCTTGGCATTAGACACTATACGGACCCAAAAGCAAATAAATCAAGGAATGAAGGTCTGGAAGAGGACACAGATGTGCACAGAACAGTGTTCAGGAGTGAAGTAATGACAAAGGAATGTTGAATTCATAACCAAGCAGCTCCAAGGTCTAACGTGGATACTTCCATGGCCTCTCTGGTCTCATCCTGGCCCTCTTCCCTTCCAAAACCAGAGTGATCTTTCTAAACCCCATACTCATCTGGGCTCTCCCTAAAAATCCATCAGCTAGCTTTCAATTTGTTTTCACCATAAAGACCAAATTCTCTACAAGATCTTTAACCCCTGTGTGGTCTCGGTAACCCGTCTCTAGTCTCCTGAGGCGCCATCCTCCATCCACCCCCATCTTTCAACTATACTTCCTTCTACCACAGGACTCTTGCACATGATGCAATCTACTCACACATTTTTGCCTCACATCCTTCTGATACTGAATGAATATGGTTTTCCTAGTGTATCCTTAGCCTAAGTCTAGTTCCTTTGTTACTTTTAATCCTATGATGGTACTGATTTTAGCTCACTAGGTTATCACCCTCTGCCCAGCATAAAGAGACACGGTAAGCACACAACAAATAGAAATTAAATAAATTCATGAATAAATGAATAGATGAATGGTCTTCCTTCAAAATCTCCTCCCAGGCCCTCCCTGGTGGCACAAGGGGTGAAGCACCATGCTATGAAGCAATCTGCAGCAGCAGGAGTTCAATCCCCAGCCAGCCAGGGAGCAACCCACATGGTGCAGCAGACCTCTCCTGTCTCGCCCACTGCTCCCATCAGCAGTGTCTTCAGTCAATCTGCCTGTTCTGTTCCCCATTCTGTCTCTGGGGAATCCTCTCACTCCCTGTATCTCTGGCCTGTACCCCAGTTCTTGTATGCATAAATAAATAAATCTTAAAAAAATAAAAATAATAATAAAATCTCCTCCCAGCAGATAACTGACAACAAAGCATGTCCAGGACATGGCAGTGCAGCAGCACCCAGAAGGCCTTCCTGAAGCAGTGAATGGAATGAATGAATGAATGAATGAATGAATGAATGAATAGCTGAAAGGCACATCAATGGCAAGCAGTCCAAGGAACATTTAGAGGCCTCGGGGCTTGCTGCTGTAGCCAATTCGGCAGGAAAAGAAACACTTCTTTGGGAATGAAGGCGCAGTGTTGTGAACAGCTGACAGCTGACTTCCCAAGAAGAAGATTAATGTCCATGGTCACTTGAGAACCACAAAACCTCTCCAGCAAGCAGCTCCCTAAGGCTATTTTTGTTTTAAAGTCTTAACAAAGGCTTCTGAAGAAACCTTGTATTCAGAATCCTTAATCCAGAAAGAGGGATAAAACTAGAAACTAGGATAACCCTCTGTGTCAAGTGCAACTTCTATTCATTTAAAGACGGGATAGATTTTCACCATCACTTAGTTTCTTTTCTCTGATTCTAGAGGAGTTTACAACAGGCTATTAAATGGATGACATACGCATTTCTGTTTACCATGTCTGCAGAGAACATATTCCAGGCTTAACTAGTACGTCACTCCTTGTGGATTCAGTTGGTAATGTACGTATTAGCCTGACCTTAGCTCATCTCTCTCCTAGCAACGGGGAGGAAAGGCAGCAAGAACAATTCTCAGTGCACTTAGGGATGGTTGTTTTTACATTGATCTTATGTTGCTCATTCACTCACTAATTCATTTTCCATTTTTCTCAGCATTGACTCTCAAGTTCCTAATTCTGCAACTGGAGAATTATTGTATTTGCAAGACTGGATGGTATCAGCTCAGAAAGTTACATCCATTTTTTCCACAATTTCATGTCACTAGCTGTTTTCTAGTTACCTCACAAGGCACAGCATCATCTACGAAGCCATCACTTAAAAAGAATTAGCTCACGAAACAAACCAGCCTCCTCCTCAGGGGCTGAGTTCCTGTCCTGTCACCTGTATCCCAATACAGTTCATGTACCTGAATGAGTCTGTGTGCTCATCAGAACAAGACAATAACTTATATTTAAAAAAAAAAAAAAATAATAGGATCCAGGGTTCTACTGGAATCAGAAATAAACAAATTCCAAACAAGAACAGCAAATGACTTTTTTTTTTAGGCATGTTTTATTTATTTATTTATTTGTTTGTTTGTTTGTTTGTTTTGTTTATACAAGCACTGGGTACAGTTAGAAGCGCGGGAGGGTGAGAGAATTCACCAGAGCCAGAGTGGGGAGCAGAACAAGCAGACTGACGAAGTACACTGCTGAGGGGAGCAGGAGAGGTCTGCGCGCCATGCGGGACCCTCCTTCGGTGGCCGGGGAGCAACCGGGGATGGAACCAGTGCTGCAGAGGCTGCGGGCGGCTTTGCAACCCAGCGCTCAACTGCTGCGCCACCAGGGAGGCCCAGC